CAATTTATCCCAAATTTTTTCCCATTTTTTTCTTTATTTCCCCCAATTTTTTTCCTGATTTTCCCTGAATTTTTCCCTTTTTTCCCGAAATTTATCCCAAATTTTTTCCCATTTTTTTCTTTATTTTCCCCAATTTTTTTCCAATTTTTTTCCTGATTTTTCCCCAATTTTTTTCCTGATTTTTCCCCAATTTATCCCAAATTTTTTCCCATTTTTTTCTTTATTTTCCCCAATTTTTTTCCTGATTTTTCCCCAATTTTTTTCCATTTTTTTCCTGATTTTTCTCTATTTTTTTTCTTCATCTTTCTCGTTCCTGATTTTTCCCCAATTTTTTTCCATTTTTTTCCTGATTTTTCTCTATTTTTTTTCTTCATCTTTCTCGTATTTTTCCCTATTTTTTTCCCATTTTTTTCCTGATTTTTCCCCAATTTTTCCCTTTTTATCCCTCAATTTATCCCAAATTTTTTCCCATTTTGTTCTTTATTTCCCCCAATTTTTTTCCTGATTTTCCCTGAATTTTTCCCTTTTTTCCCTAAATTTATCCCAAATTTTTTCCCATTTTTTTCTTTATTTCCCCCAATTTTTTTCCTGATTTTCCCTGAATTTTTCCCTTTTTTCCCTAAATTTATCCCAAATTTTTTCCCATTTTTTTCTTTATTTTCCCCAATTTTTTTCCAATTTTTTTCTGGATTTTCCCCAATTTTTCCCTTTTTTCCCTCAATTTATCCCAAATTTTTTCCCATTTTTTTCTTTATTTCCCCCAATTTTTTTCCTGATTTTTCCCCAATTTTTTCCCATTTTTTCCTCTATTTTTTTCTTCATCTTTCTCGTATTTTTCCCTATTTTTTTCCTATTTTTTTCCTGATTTTACCCAAATTTTTCCCTTTTTTCCCTCAATTTATCCCAAATTTTTTCCCATTTTTTTCTTTATTTTCCCCAATTTTTTTCCTGATTTTTCCCCAAATTTTCCCCAATTTTTCCCCATTTTCCCCCTCATTTTTCCCAAAAAACCCCACAAAAAATCCAGGAAAAAACTGAATTTTCATGACGCAAAAATCCCCCGAATTCCACCAAAAAACCACCAAAAAACCGGGAATTTCCGGGAAAAAAAGGGGAAAATCCATGGAATTTCGAGCACCCCAAAATAATTTGGGAATGTTGATGCTGAGGTTGGATTTTTTTTTAGGATCTGCGGAATTTCCGTTCCCGGGGGGAATTTTCCACAAATTTATCCCAAATTTTTTCCCATTTTTTTCTTTATTTTCCCCAATTTTTTTCCTGATTTTTCCCCAATTTTTCCCTTTTTTCCCTAAATTTATCCCATATTTTTTCCCATTTTTTCCTTTATTTTCCCCAATTTTTTTCCTGATTTTTCCCCAAATTTTCCCTTTTTTTCCCTAAATTTATCCCAAATTTTTTCCCATTTTTTTCTTTCTTTTCCCCAATTTTTTTCCTGATTTTTCCCCAATTTATCCCAAATTTTTCCCCATTTTTTCCTTTATTTTCCCCAATTTTTTTCCTGATTTTTCCCCAAATTTTTCCCAATTTTTTCCCCATTTTTCCCCCTCATTTTTCCCAAAAAACCCCACAAAAAAATCCGGGAAAAAACTGAATTTCGATGACACAAAAATCCCCAAATTCCACCAAAAAACCGGGAATTTCTGGGAAAAAAAGGGGAAAATCCATGGAATTTCGAGCACCCCAAAATAATTTGGGAATGTTGATGCTGAGGTTGGATTTTTTTTTTAGGATCTGCGGAATTTCCGTTCCCGGGGGGAATTTTCCGATGGGCGAGGTTCAGGAAAAACGGGACGGGATTGACGGGAAATCAACGGATCTACAGCCAATCGCTGAACGAGGTGGGGAAAAGGGAAAATTGGGGGGAAAATGGGATAAAAAATGGGGAAAAATTGGGAGAAAATGGGGAAAAATTGGGGAAAAATTGGGGAAAAATTGGGAAAAAAATGGGAAAAATTGAGAATAAATTGGGGAAAATTTGGGGGAAAATTGGGGAAAAATTGGGGGAAAATTGGGGGAAAATTGGGGAAAAATTGGGGAAAAATTGGGATAAAAATGGGGAAAAATTGGGGAAAAAATGGGGAAAAATTGGGAAAAAATTGGGAAAAAATTGGGGGAAAATTGGGGGAAAAATGGGGAAAAAATGGGGAAAAATGGGGGAAAAATTGGGGGAAACATTGGGGAAAAATTGGGGAAAAATTGGGGAAAAATTGGGGGAAAATTGGGGAAAAATTGGGAGAAAACGGGGAAGAAATGGGATAAAAATCGGGGAAAAATTGGGAAAAAATTGGAGAAAAATTGAGAATAAATTGGGAAAAAATTGGGGAAAAATTGGGATAAAAAATGGGGAAAAATGGGGGAAAATGGGGAAAATTTGGGGCAAAATTGGGGGAAAAATTGGGGAAAAATTGGGGAAAATTGGGGAAAAATTGGGGAAAAATTGGGGAAAAATTGGGGGAAAATTGGGACAAAAAATGGGGAAAAAATGGGGAAAAATGGGGGAAAAATTGTGGAAAATTGTGATAAAAATGGGAGAAAAATGGGATAAAAATTGCGGGAAAATTAGGGAAAATTTGGAAAAAACTGGGGAAAAATTGGGATAAAAATAGGGGAAAATAGGGGAAAAATGGGAAAAATTGGGGGAAAATTGGGATAAAAAATGGGGAAAAATTGGGGGGAAAATAGGGGAAAATGAGGGGAAAATTGGGGAAAAATGGGGAAAAATTGGGATAAAAAATGGGATAAAAATTCGGGAAAAATTGGGGGAAAATTGAGGAAAAATTGGGGAAAAAATAGAGAAAAATTGGGGGAAATTGGGGGAAATTGGGGGATAATTGGGGAAAAATTGGAGAAAAAATTGGGGGAAAATTGGGGAAAAAATGGGGGAAAATGGGGAAAAATAGGGATAAAAATGGGAGAAAAATGGGGAGAAAATAAGGGGAAAATGGGGAAAGATTAGGGAAAAATTGGGAAAAAATTGGGAAAAAAATGGGAAAAATTGAGAATAAATTGGGGAAAATTTGGGGGAAAGTTGGGGAAAAATCAGGGAAAAATAGGGGAAAATTGGGAAAAATTGGGATAAAAAATTGGGAAAAATTGGGGGAAAATTTGGGAAAAAATTGGGGGAAATTGGGGAAAATTGGGGAAAAATTGGGAGAAATTGGGGAAAAAATGGGGAAAAATTGGGGAAAAATTGGGGAAAATTGGGATAAAAAATGGGATAAAAATGAGAGAAAATGAGGAGAAAAATTGGAAAAAAATGGGGAAAAAATTGGGGGAAAATTGGGGGAAAATTGGGAAAAAAATTGGGGGAAAAATGGGGGAAAATGAGGGAAAAATGGGGAAAAAATTGGGGAAAAATCGGGGAAAATTGGGGAAAAAATTGGGGAAAAAATTGGGGAAAAATGGGATAAAATCGGGAAAAAATTGGGGGAAATTGGGATAAAAAATGGGATAAAAATGGGGGAAAATGAGGGAAAAAATTGGGAAAAAAATGGAAAAAAATGAGAAAAAAATCGGGAAAAATTGGAAAAAAAACGGGGAAAACTCCCAGAATTCCAGGAATTGCATCCCAAATTTTTTTTTCCCCCCTGGAATTCTTTATCCCCAGCACGAGAACAGCCTGACCTTGGCCACGCTGCGGATTTTTGGGAATCAATTGGGAATTCCTCATTTCCACTTCAACGCCAACGAGATGGGAGTGGTGATCAGAGGCTGCGGACAGGTAAAAAAAACCGGGAAAAACGGGAATTCCCAAAAAAAAATGAGGAATTTTTACATCCAAATTCTCTTTTTCAAAATATTTGGGGTTTTTCCTGGTTTTTTCCTGATTTTCCAGGGTTTTTTCTGATTTTTTCCCATTTTTTTCTGATTTTTTCCCATTTTTTTCTGATTTTTTCCCGTTTTTTTTCTGATTTTTTCTCGTTTTTTTTCTGATTTTTTTCCTGTTTTTCCTCCCTGATTTTTTCCCATTTTTTCCTCTGATTTTATCCCAATTTTCCCCTGATTTTATCCCATTTTTTTCCTGATTTTCCAGGTTTTTTTCGGATTTTTTCCTGTTTTTTTCTGATTATTTTCCTTTATTTTTTTCAGGTTTTTCCCAGATTTTTTTTCCTTTCAAAATTCCCATTTTTTCCCCCATTTTCCCCCCCAAAATTCCCA